AGGTAATTTTTAACTACAGACAAAAATTGGGAAAATGCTGGTGGGAAATAAGATTGGAGCCATCAAGTTAAAGCCACAGTGTTTCACAACCACTAAACACTAACACAAGGGTGTGTAATCAGTCCCACAAAACACCAATTAGCACATGGTGATTATGTTACATCCAGAAAATGTAGGAGTGTTTCTGGGACAAAACCTGTTATAAAACATAAGGGGACTTGACACCAGCCGCTGGGGAGAAATAACTCCAACCTCTAATGATGTTAAGGACAACATGGAGAATTCCCACCGGCAGCATTTGGTGATTTGGGCAGGGTCAGAGTCTGCAAACTGAGTTTGGCAACAGGAAAGGGGAATAACAGCACATGTGCTGATGGTTAGGCCTCGCCAGATTTCTCATGGGAAAAATCCAACCATTTACTTTGGATTATGAAAACGGATGACTCTGTGGGGCTAATCAAACAATAGCTGGCATGTATATTTACTAACTTAGTAACATGAGGATGTACTTTTTTTCTCCCACATATTCCCATACTCACTCTTGGCATTCTGTAGAGATTTTAAGTTCTTTGGTTCTTCCCAGGAAAACTCTCACCAGAGCGCCAAAGTTCCCAGTCCTGGGATTGTTTTCAACTTGGAAAGAAATTGATAACACAGCAAAAATGAACAAAAACACATATCAGAACTTCCAAAATAAAAACTTTCCAGTATTTACACTATAACTGACAAATTGATTGGTGATAGAAACACAGGACGTTATGGTAAACAAGGCATAGGCCAACTTACTGAGAATTTTGGCCAAAGGAATGACTGCCTCTTCAAGCAACTTGGAGTCTCCACTGTACACAACAAAGACATTAGGGACATGGGTGTGGTAACTCAGCATACCCAGCATTAGCTGTGGCCTCATACGTTTTTTAGTAGCACTAACATCTGGACTAAATCTTTACCTGCTCGTGGGACTGATGAAGGTGAAGGAGATGAGCTGGTTCCAGAATGGATCATTCTCTGAAATGGACTCTGTGCCCACCAGCCTCTGGAGGTTTTCGTTATCAGACAGGTCACTGACCTGGCTGGTGTTGGCTCCCATCGCTACTGGCTCCCCTTAGCCAGACTCACCACCCTTCACTGTGTAGTCACCAGGCACATACCAAACCCTGGAGAGAAGAGAAGATACTACGAGTTTTATCTTAGGTTCCTCTGCACACACACTTTTCTGAAACACAAAAAACAAACAAAACAAAACAAAACAAAACATGTACACGTTGTGTAATCAAGAAACACAAAAAACAAACAAAACAAAACATGGTCACGTTGTGTAATCAAAGCATTTCAGATAATATTATGTTCAGGCATTTACATTTTACTGTGTGTTGCCAACTGACAGCACAATGTTGTGCAGAGTCTGAGTAACAACAGAAGCATCAAGTTGATCAGTCACAGAATAAAGATAGAGGAAAGGAAGGAGTTTAAACCAGGCTAAAGCCAGAAGATCTAAATAGCAGGGCGCTGTTAGGTTTCCTCCTTAAAATACTGTCAGACTAGTACAGCCTGTGCTTTGTCAATGTCAATAAAGCCTATGACTGTGATATTGTATTATACTGTATGTTCAGGTGTGGCAGAAAAGTACTCAAAGTGGTGCACTACATTGCATGTGGACAGCAAAACAGAACCAGGGTGTAAAATTTATAGGTCAGTCATAGTTGAACTATTGATCTTTCAAGTCTGTGGATCTTGTTGTGCGTTGATGACCTTGTACTCTGTGGTACGAGTGTTTAGCAGATGTGAAAGTAATGATACATTAACAGGAAACCGTGGTATTAAAAAGCAAGAAATAATGAATGTGTGTGAGTGACACTTGGTCTGTTAGAGAGGTGAGGATGCAGAGAGAGAAAAAAAATCATGGGTGAGGATGAAGACCTGGGCATCAACTGTCAGCAGCAACAGTGCAAACAGTCAAAGATGGTATAGATATGGTTTAAGCTTCAATTCGTTGCCTCAAGTTCATAAACAGTATATATAATGTCGTTCAGAAAGCTTTAAACCTACCAACTGCAAAGTGAAAACCTAATATTACGACCACACACAAAATATATGCCTGCTCATCCAGTTCGAACACATATTCCAACGAGATGAATCGACCACGTGAAATATCCGGAACCAGGATTTGTTTTTCTATTTAATGGCACGCCTTAAACACACAGGTTCTGCCTATGAGACATTTGATGAGAAGCAAAGGTTACAATAACCACACATTTACTATGTACATGTCACAAAATATCTCTGAAAAATGTCTATATAGAGACATGTATTTTTAAAGACCCTGCTTTAAGTTTGTATGCTGATACGTGTTTGGGTTTATTTGCCGATTTTTGCTTTAATATACCTACAGCCGTGGCGTTAGCAGACTCACCCCGCCTCGGGCGCAGGAAATAGTCCGCGCCTTGCAGATTATTTAGACAAATCGGTGACTCAACGGTCAGAACGCAGTGCTTAAAACCTACTGGGTCGGATGCAAACGGTCTCATGCGCAATGTCAACTGATAAATACGCCACTGTCCAGAAATAGGCTGACGTCCACCGCTTGTATGCAATCAGCTGACCGCTCGGCTTACCTGTCATAAAAGCTTTTTGTAGTTTCCTCAACTCTTCGGCTCTCAGGGTTGTAAACGGATGACACTATCTTTACATTAATTCTTGAAGTTCCAAATGTCTTTATGGGCAGTAATAAACGAAGTCAAATACGTGAAATTACGTAAAATTTGAGGCTAGTAAGTTTACTCTACACACTCTTTTCCTCCATGTTTTACACGTCGCCACCCCTTGCGTGATGACGTTTCAACGTCAGTGACGTTGCAGATAGAAATAGAGCTGATAGAGTGCAGAGGCCCTTCGTGTGCTGACACAGGAGAGAAAAAAAATACTGCGCAGATCGCGAGAGTTCAACTGCCACCAGTGGATTAACAAGTGTCTTTGTATTTCCTTTGAAAGTGAAAGTTACTTCATAATCGACGTGGATTGCAATCGATTTTAGTTTAGCATTGTTGGAAAACATCAAATGGGGTTAATTCTAGATTTTGGGAAATAGCGCTGAGAACTCCCGCATAACTTCTAGAATCTAGAAGAATTGTTTTCATTTTTTTAAAGTTATTAAAGACTTCAAAATAAATTCCTATTTAGGTAATAATGAAAACATACTGTTTCATACTGTATTTACCTTGCGTAGATATTTGTTTCCTCTTGTGGTATAGCCCTTAAACTATATATATATATATACGAAAATACACACATTTTACTCAGACTCATGAATAATTTTATTTAAAACAGCTATAGAACAATTTTTTCACACCTGGAAATAGAGCAATTCATACATTTGGTCTTTCACAAAACAAGAAAAAAAATGTAGGAAACCAAGAACCAAATATAAATGTCAGTTTGAAAAATAATGGATTTGCATTTCTATAGAACCCACAGCTTTATTAGTGAAAATGCAATATTCTTCTGATGTTACATTACTTTTTATGTTTCCTTTAGACATGAAAATGAAAGTGGTTTGAAAAGAAGCATAGCTGAGTGACGGCGGAAAATGAACGTCTTTATTCTGAGTGTCTGAGAAAGAGTTGCTGTGACATTAAAAATTAAATAAAATACATATATTACTGCACAATATAACATCAACTACTGTTCTTGATTTCAGTGGGAAAAAAACATTCATACATTTTAGAGTTAGAAAGTTAGAAAACCAGGGTTTATAGAAGACATTTAAGTCAATTCATTTGTTTATCTTATATTTAAATTTTTTATACCATCACTGGAATATTTACAGTATGTTAGATATGATATACAGAATTGATGCTGTCAATCTGTTTTCTTATCAGCTGTTAGCGTAGCTCCATTGGCAGTGACGTCACCATTGTTCTCGCTCTGAAAGACAATAAACAATTTAACCGCATTGGCATTTATGGAAATACAATAAAAAGTATAAATTATCACCAACTGTGAGATAATACTCTTACCTTGCAAATACCATTTTCACCTAGTTTTTGGTCACTTGTGTCACTCGCCTCAGTGACAGGCTTTTTGTTCCAGAATGTATTTATAAAAGGTGCAATGAATGGATAAATAATTGGCTCCAGGAACCTTTTGTAGACCCAAAGAAGGACAGGGATGACGATACAGGGAATACACACCATGGCTGTGGTTAGAAATGTCTGGAAGAAGTGAAAAAAGAAACTGTTGGTTTGAACTGAAAAAATATACATGTAAAATACATCAGGCAAGAAAGGAATCATAAAATCAACCTAAATCAACACCTACACAAACTGTACATCAAAGATGTCAGTTATACTAACATTTGCATCACTGTGTTATTACTTAATGTCTCTAACTTAATTTAAATATTAAACCGTATATAGAGAGATTTTTATTATTATTCAGCTGTTTTATTTGAGAAAATCTCAATAAATTGACACTGCATAAGAATTTATTCTTCACTAATTGTGTCCCTTTAAAGAATATATATAAATAAAATAAGCCATTTCTCTTCACAGAGACGGCTGTTTCTAATTATTTGTAACCAGGCTAAACGCCTGGTCAGGAATGCTGACATGTATGCAACATGTAATTTCACCACCAGATGCTGCTAATCCTTCACTTATATCTTTAAACTAGTTCAGATAAAGTCGATTAGTTTTCTCGCTGTGACGTTTGTATAGAGTAACCCATAAGGTGACAAGCATAAGTCATCAATCAGAGGTTAGATTAAAGGGTAGTTGTTAAAGATTATACACAAAGTCGTTGTCATGCAACCAAGCTGTTAGCTTAAGTTAGCTTCCTGCATTGGTTCGACGGGTAATCAAGGCGTTTTATGATTAAAACGAAAGGATGTTGAAATAGACGAGATTTAAATACCAAGTAGAGGTACTTACCTCAGTGGTCGAGAAATCATAGACAATGTCAGGTACGATGTGAGGAAAATACGTCTCGTTTTGTTGTTGAACACCACAGCGAAATCTCTGGAACCTAGACGCGCTTGCGCATTTACATATTTCCGGTAGGAGACCGGAAGTTAAATATTGGAGAAACAAAACGCGGCACATTTCTCCAAAACACCAGATTGTAAGTGTTTTGCATCTACCTCTTCAGCTTCCAAAATAGTTAGGATTTTGAATTAAGTCGGATAACGTTAAATTATATATTGTAATACAAATATATGTGGTTCTCATGGTAGTATAAGATGTGTGGTAATGAGTCACGTATGAGCTCATGAAGTTCATAACATTTTGCGACCTAAATCACACTTTTGTTTTGTTCTGAATGCTGTAAAAAATGATTAAGTACCTGTAATTTTTGGACAGCTGCATAGTGAGCGAAAATTGTAACCATTTTAGTGTTACTCATGCAATAGTACTATACAATAAACACGTCACATGTCGACGACATATTAAAGTTTGTTGTTGATAAATACAGTATATATATGTGTTATGTGTTAATAATGTGTTATGTGATGGGCCTAAATGTATTTTTATTTAGTGATTTTTTTTTTCGAGGAAATTGTATGTTTTACCTTGTTAGCATTTTAGTAGGCGAGGAAATTGTATGTTTTACCTTGTTATCATAAATGTTAGCATTTTAGTAGCATACCAAAAACAACATTTGACAAATTCACAAAACCTATTTTATCCAACTTTTGTACACAATTTAATTAAGTTCTTTATCTTTTTAGTCTCCTAAATTGACCATTCACTCTTTTTCATTATCTTTTCTCTAGTGCCACAATGCCTCTGTCCACTCAATCACAGGCTGATGATGAACAATATGTATTAGTAGCCAGTTTGGATAATGCTCGCAATCTCTCCAACATACTGAAAGCCATCACCTTCAAGGACCACGCCATCTTTAACGCTACACCCAACGGTTTGAAAGTCACTGTGGAGGACTCCAAGTGTCTGCAAGCCAACGCTTTTATCCAAGTATGTTTGATTTACTGTTGGCAGGATTTGCCAGGTTTTCTGAGGTGTAACATTATCTTATAATGCGTTGTAAATAAATACCTACTTTTATGACAGGCTGACATCTTCCAAGAGTTCACCATTAGGGAAGATGTGGTGGGTTTTCAGGTCAATCTCACTGTTCTGTTAGACTGCCTCAACATCTTTGGGGGAAGCATAGTACCAGGTAAGGGAGGTAGAAAGGAAAAATATTGAAAAGTAATACAAGAATCCACATGTAGATTTGGATATATTTGTTTGTTTTCTCTCACACCACATTTTCTTTACGGCCCTCCTCTGATGTTGCAGGATTGTCAACGGCATTACGAATGTGCTACAAAGGATACGGTTACCCTCTGACCTTGTTCTTAGAAGAGGGGGGTGTGGTGACGGTGTGTAAGATCAACACACAAGAACCAGAAGAGCTGATTGATTTTGAGTTCTGTAGCGCCAACGTCACAAACAAGGTAAGAGCTGATTGATTTTGAGTTCTGTAGTGCCAACGTCACAAACAAGGTGAATGGCTTTAAGAAACTCAGACAAAAGGCTAACAGTAACCAATTCCTTTAAATTTAGTGACAACTAAAGGAGACAACATGTAGTGTAAAAACTGGAAGTATTAACTGTGTGCTATGATATTTGCTTTTGAGGTGATCCTGTTGTCTGAGAGTCTAAGAGAACCGTTCTCCGAACTGGATACGACCAGTGAGGTGCTGGAGATCACAATGTCACCAGACCAACCGTATTTTAGGTAAAAAGAAAATAATGCAGAAAATCATGAAGTCAATGTATAAAGAGTTCAGTTTCATCCAAGTGCACGTCTGTGGTTAAAATGACCTGCACGTTTAACCTAATGCTGCAGGGATGATTCATCTGTATTTGTTTGCCACTTGGTTTGTTGATATATGTTTATATATTTTTTAAAATGTATTTTTGATGAAAATCTTTTCTTTCATCTCAGGTTATCTACATTTGGGAACTCTGGAAACGCTCATTATGATTATCCTAAAGACTCGGAGATGATGGAGCTTTTTCGTTGCACCACAACTCAAACCAACAGGTGATTACTGCATGATGATGATAGGGGATTTCTTTTTTTAGAACAGAAGAATATAGAATATATTCTGCGGACATTTTAGGGGAACCAAAAGTTGGTTAATAGTGTTAAATGCTGGGCAAATATTTGCTAATGGTAATGTATAAAAGGATCCAGCAATAGAAAGAGCAGTTAGTGTTCTTGTGTTACAGCAAGGGGGACTTTACTACTTTTTACGTGTTTTTGAATTTTAATTAATTCTCCTTCACAGTACAGTAAATCTATTGTAACCATTCTGCCTTACAGACCACGAAAAGTGAGCGAAAACCTAGATAACATAGCAGTGTTTGTTTACTTGCCTGACAGGTACAAGATGTCTCTGCTGAAGCCGTCCACCAAAGCCCTGGCTCTGTCCAGTAAGGTCTCCGTGAGGACAGACAGCAGGGGCTTCCTGTCTCTGCAGTACCTGGTCAGGAACGACTGTGGACAGGTCTGCTTCGTGGAATATTACTGTTGTCCTGACGAGGAGGTGGAGTGACAGCCGAGCGTGTGTTGGTTCTATTCCCTACTTTATTAAGCACTTTAAGAGGAGCTCAGCGTTTTTGAGGACAGACTGTCAGAGACTCTGTACGATTGGGTTAAGTTGAGGTCCCTGGATTACGATGTGATGTTTGCGTCATAGCAAAAGGAGTGAAGCTGGGAGTTTTGAAGATGATGTTAGTACTTTGGACTGACCTGAGTGCAGTTTCATCACCGGGTTTAGAACAACGTTCAGATGCAGCTCATTTGATCCTAGTGGAGACATGAGCGTCTGCCTTCATATTTCCTTTGTGACCATGTTGAAGTTGGTATATTTTGGAGTATGTGAAAATCAGATCATACTCATCATTGTATTACTCTGATGCACAGACCCATGATAAAACTTAAATAAAAAAAATAAATTGTTAAAGAATTATTTTTATTAAACAAAGTTGAGTAAATGTTGGCAAATCTTCAAAGACGTTTTTAATCACAAGATGTTTCACTGAACAAAAACAGCATTTTTTCCTACACCAGGTTTGACTGCACTTTTGCAGAACCACAGTCTGTACTGAGAATGAATCGTGGCAGTGGCGTTTCATGACGACAGTCCATGGAGCTACCTGCGTGCCATCCTCTGTCTTTTGAAACCACACAACTTCTTCTTTTTCTCTTTGAACTGCGGTGGTTCTGTTTCGATGTGAACAGGCTTTTCCTCGGCAGGTGTCACGAAGACATCTGCTGTGACGTCTTTGTCCAAATCCTCCTTCGCTTCGCTCTTCTTGATTTTGTGCAGCTCCTTCACCATCTGCCTCTCACGGACTTTGGCTGCTGCAGCAAGACGGATCTCTCGGCGATGCTTCAGGATGTGGAGAAGAAAAAAAAATTATGAATGACAATTTCACAAAGATCTGTTCACAATTTTTACACTGGTTCAAAAATAATAATGTCTGAATAATTCAAAAGTCATAAAGGTGGTATTACCATGTTGGGAGACTTGAAGTCTGGGTTCTCATAAAGTGTTGGTCCTCCAAAGCTTCCTTGAAAGAGCTTAATGAGGTTGAGAACAAAGCGAGGTCCAATCTCCACCAGAGAGCCATCTTCCTCAATAATCTATAAAAAAAATAAAACATTTAGAAGAAGAAAACACTAGATTTTAGAACCGTTATTAAAATAATTGGATTTTTTTTTTTAATTACCTGGTAGTTTCTGAACCATATCCTTTTATCTGCAATGGTGAAGGTGAAGACATGGTCCACAAAGGGCTGACTCTTTGGATGGTAACGTGGAGTGGAAAATGTCTGAAAAAACAATGGTACAGTAGTAAGGTAGAATCAAACCTGACTCATCTTTCAAACCAATTTATTTCTGTCGTGTTAAACACTTTTCAAATATTTTTCATACAGACCTGAATAAAGAGCTCCTTTAATACAGCGAAATGAGGATCTTTGTCAAATTTCTGTGGATAACAATTAATGAAAGAATGTTACGAGAAGGACTGTCAATAGGTGTGTCCAGGGTTTGGTTACCAGAGGAACTACATATCTCCAATGGTGCCTCCTATGGCAGCCAGTGTGGGTTGCAAAGACAAACACTGTAAATTCCCACATTGTGGAATGAATAAGGGACTAAATTATTTATGGTTATTTGCTAAACAAAAACCTGAAAAGAGTTTCTCATACTCACTGGATCAAATGACAGCAGAGGTCTGGATCCTTTCAGGCAGTTACCAGTCATTTTCAACTCTGCCAGTGTATGGACTGTAAAAATAAAATAAAATAAATAACACAAACTTAAGCTCAATTAAAGTATGAGGTCAAACACAAGTTAAACTTACTGTTTTGAACTAGAAACTTTGCAGAAGGTCCATGTGGTGTATTTGCAATCCTGTTGAATCAAAAATTAATAATGCCATGTCACTTTAAAAGAAAATCAGAGATCAGTGTTTAGAAATGTAAGAATAAAACACTCACCACATGTATAGGTCCTGCTTTTTCTTGGCCTCAAAAAAGAGGCATTTGTTGCAGTTTTTCATTTCACAAACCTACAGAACAACCATGGTTTTAACTACACTGTGGTAGAAATTATCTCACAAGGATTGAGACAATGGTGAAAAAGACAACAACACACTTACCTCGTTGATTACAAACAACTTGTCCTTTCTGTCCATTTTTGTGTCTAAAATTAAACAAAAGCATAGTTGTTATACCATCAGTGTCTGTTTACCAGAAATAATACATAAAAACCATAACGACGCTCACCTGCTTTGGCATGAGGCATCATGGTCCTTAGGTCTTGCATTAAGTGTCTTGTTCTAAAGTTGATGCCTCTGGAGGAGAAAATGAGGACTCTTTCCTTGTTGGTCCATTTGCCCTGTTGAAGATATATTTACTTAGAATTTCATAACAAACGACTGACTTCCTAAAATATACTAAAACAAATTTTTTAGATAATATTTGATGGTCGCCAGTGTGGGCGTTTTGGCAACAATATATGTTTAACGATAGACTTAAATTACTGTGGAAAACATCAACACGTTACAGTGCTGAAAATTAGCAGCTAGGCTAACTTAGCAACTCCAGTGGCTAAATATCAGACCAAAATCTCACCGCCGACACCGGTGCTGGAACTGTGACTTCATTCTTCTTCTCTGGTTCATTCTCACTTGGTGCCTCAGTTTCATCCGCAACAAATTTCACTTTCTTTGACTTTTTATCAACAGGACCCTGTCCTCCACGTTTTCTCTTGAATGCTGCCATGACTGTTTTCTACACCCGTAAACACAAATCTCGCGTGACTGGGGACGGATCCACACGTAAACGAAAATAAGGATAGGGCCCCCTACTGGCGCGGTTGGGGTAGGGTGAGAAACTAAATCTTTATTACATTGTATTATATTGAAAATGTAATGCGCAGTTTTGCAGTGTTTTTGTAAAAACAAAAAAGGGCTCAAACTATGATAGATAAACCAAACTATGCCAGTGTGAAACATGTAATGTCTTCGGCTGAAGTTGTATAGAAATAAATTTATTTTATCGGTGACGGAGCAATCAAACGTCATGCATGTTTTAAAAAGTATTAAATGTTTATTTTTCTTTATTTAACCTATATATCATAATGTAAGCACAACCAATCCACAATCATTGGGCTTTCATAACAGCAAAACAGTCAAAAAATATTTTACAATATTTTTACGGTAGAGGGCAGCAACACACACGTGTCCATAGTTGTCAAGAGAACTGCGACTGTGCGTTCTCGCGAGATTACCTACCGGCTTCAGTATAATGCTCTTTGGTGACACTAGATTGTGCCATTTCAACACTTTTAACTTTATCTATATGAATTGTAAAATACTTTACATAGTTGTAGTGTGTATATTTTATTTATTGAAGTAAACGTATTGTCATTGGCGAAATAGTCTGTTTAATAATATAAATAATAAGATGCTATTTAGGTAGCACTGCGCTGTTTGCTAAATGCTAAAGCTAGCCCCGACTGCGGCAACGTGAGAAACGTTTACTATATTTTGTAATTCTTTGCTGTTTTTAGTGTCAGTGTTAAAATGAAGTGTCACTATGAAATCCTCGGTGTGAAACGAGACGCCGGAGACGACGACTTAAAGAAAGCTTACCGTAAATTAGCATTAAAATGGCATCCAGGTGAGTTACAATGACGCTTGGTTGTCAATTGCTGTCTTGTGTCTGTACTACATTTAATTATGTTCTACGCTAACACATGAGGGTTGAGTTGGTCTTTGTCGTACATATTAGGAAGCATGTTTAGGTCAGTAAAAGGTTTACTCTTTATCACTTAAGGCGACCGAAATCTGGGAGAAAAATGCTAAGAATGCTGAGTTTTACTTAATTTCTGTATTATATTTAATATGTAATATACATACTCAGGTCTCCTTATATTTTATCAGGAAAACACGTCAATACTTGCCTTTACCTCCAACGTTAAAAAACATTCAAAAGCATTTTAAATGTTATAATGATTCTGCTACAAATTTCCCAGATAAAAACTTAGATAATGCAGAGGAGGCAGCAGAGCACTTCAAGTTGATACAGGCAGCTTATGATGTCTTGAGTGACCCACAGGAAAGAGCCTGGTAGGTACAAAGAGCTCTGAAGCACCGCATCTTTGTGCTTTTTGAATTAGAAGATGCTGCATTGACATCATTGATCATTGTCTTTGCAGGTATGACAACCACAGAGAGGCTCTGCTGAAAGGAGGACTGAGTGGAGACTATGAAGATGACAGCATTGACCTGCTGCAGTTCTTTACTGTCACGTGTTACTGTGGCTTTGGGGATGATGAAAAGGTTTGTGTGTTCAAAATTAAATGTTTGGTATTTTTTATACCAAAAATAGCAAAAATAATTCAGATTCAGATTCTAAGATTATTTGTTGAGATTGTATCGACAAAATAATTTTTTTCTACTCCACAATCATTGTTTTTTATTCTCTCTTTCTCTAGGGTTTTTACACAGTCTACAGAGACCTCTTTGAGTCGATTGTAAAGGAAGAAATTGAGCAGGGTAGTGGAGAAAATGAGGATGACGAGGAGGAGTTTCCTTCATTTGGAAACTCTGAGAGTGACTATGACACTGTAAGAAACTAATGTGCTCACCACACTATAAAATATCCGTTTTATACATTTTCTTCAGTGTTTGATCGTGAATTGGTTAGGCTGCATTATCTCAAAATGTCAGTGGTTATACCATGAGTCTACACACACGGTACTGTACAGTAGGTGACGGTATGCGCCTAAAAACATTGGTTGTGTCTCTTTATTAAACCAAGACATCACGTTTCTACGTTGCCTAAGTGACATTCAAGTGTTCAAACAGAAGGTGGAAAGAACTTCTACCACAGACACAAACAATGATTTACAGTGTTTCTGTTAAGAAAGGAACTATTTTCAGTTATTTTGTTTTTCTTTTGTTTAATGTATTGACACCAAGGTAAATAAGATCAAACCAGTTTTACTTTTAATAAGAGGAGATAAATGGTGATGTGCAGTGTTTCTGTTAAGAAATGTTTTTGTTGCATTGTGTTTTTTAACATACTTCATTTTATGAGGTACACAAGACCATTTCTGTTGGTGATAGTATTTTGCATAGTTCAAAAAAGTGCATAAAGGACCAATGTATTTGGTCATAATTTATCTAGAGCTCATTTTCTCCAAACAAAAATCACGATAAAATTGTATCATTAATTCTATTGTGAATTGAGTGTATAGTTACATCTGTATTGATTAGACTTGAATATTTTACATTAAATTATAATATTAAAGGAAACAAATGTTTTTTTTGCTCACTCCACAGGTAGTGCGTGTGTTTTACGGTTACTGGCAGAGCTTCTGTACACGTAAGAACTTTGCCTGGAAAGAGGAGTACGACACGAGACATGGCTCCAACCGCTGGGAAAAAAGAGCGATGGAGAAAGAGAACAAAAAAACGCGAGAGAAGGCTCGCAAGGAAAGAAATGAACTGGTGCGACAACTAGTGGCTTTCGTACGCAAGCGCGACAGACGTGTGCAGGCGCACAGGAAACTGGTGGAGGAACAGAACGCTGAGAAACTCAAGAAAGCAGAGGAGCTGAGGAGGAAACAGAAACTCAGTCAGGCCAAGTGAGTCTTCACTGTACATTTAAGATTTTACATATTTTCTCTGTTAGTTCAGGCCAAGTGAGTCTTCACTGTACATATTTTCTCTGTTATTTTTTTAAGCAGTACTTTCATTTACTGTCTGTTTAAGACTGGCAGAGGAGTACAAGGAGCAGAGCTGGGCAGCCATGTCTGAATTGGAGAAGGAGCTGCAGCAGATAGAGGCTCAGTACGGCCAGGAGTTTGGAGATGCATCAGACAGTGAGGAGGAGGAAGAGGAGCAGGATATGGACTCGCAGGAGAAGGACAGTCAAGAGGGAGCAGGTCAGAAAGGAGGAGACTGAAGCCTCATTAACTCTCATCTATAGTACTTAATTGTATTACTACTTCACATAACAAAACTCATTTGGATTAGTCACAAATACAAACAGGTTGAAAATCAAATACATTTGGTATTTGTCTGTTCCAACAAAACCATATTTAGGCATGATGATTAACCTTAATTAATCGTGATTAATCCACATCTACCCTATGAGTAATCCCATTTAAATGTCAAATTGTTGTTTTTATTTATTTATTTTTTACCTGTGCAGACCAACCTGATGGAGATGACCAGAACATAGATTATTATGACGAGCTGTACTGCCCCGCCTGTGATAAACTGTTCAAATCAGACAAGGCGTGAGTATTTCAGAAAAACACAGCCACTGCAGTAGTTGCACTTTTAAACACATTCACTCAAATCAACGTGTGGTATCGAAAGGTACACCATGTGGGATTTAACGCAGTATAGTGTTGAACTTACATGTTATGGTAGTCATGGTGTGTGTGTGAACTTACATGTTATGGTAGTCATGGTGTTAAATAACATGTGTTTATAAAAAACATGTTCTATATTTAAAATACATAATTTAAATGTGGATAAACATGTACGTATCAACCTTATTATAAAGGGATCTCAACTTTAATCTATAGTATTTTGATTAGTGTACATGCACTAATGGAATATTGTTTCCTGTGTACATGTGAAAGTACTACACATACTTTTAATCTGACTGTACTGCAGATAATTCCAACTACATTAGGTCATTGTCAGTATAAGATTTTATAGATGGGCCTCTGTCTCTGTAGGAAAATAATCCATGAGAAAATGTTGTCCTGCGAAAACTATAGACATAAGACTAAATGACATATAAAAAAAAGGAAAGACACAAATATTGACTCCAAATACATCAGCAGTCCAGCATTTTTTTCTTTAAAAGTGCCTTCTGCTGAAACAAAAAAACATTTCTAGTGATTTTTAAAAGGAAATAAAAAAAAAAGCCGCTACTTCTGTTTCGACCTTTGTGATGTTTCTTGCTGCTATAGCTTTTAGCAAAAAAAAAACAGATAAATGATCGCTGCCCATTATGAGGTCTGAGTAGCCTTAGAATTATTTATCTCTGAGTAATCAGTAACCAGGTTTGTTTTTCTTGTTCTCTTAAAACCACAAACTCAGAAGGAACACGTTTAATAAAAGTTATGTTCCGGACTAAAAAAATATTGAGTCATTGTCTCTATTTATGTATCTAAATATTTTTGTACACACCTAGATATGTTCAGTTTCTCCCAGCAGACAATGATTTTATTTTTCTCTTCCACAGAATGAAAAACCATGAAAAATCTAAAAAGCACCGAGAGCTTGTGGCGTTGCTACGGCAACAGCTAGAAAATGAGGAGGAATCGCTTGGATTCAACCTAGAGGAAGACGACGGAAGAGAGGAGAACACACAGGCTTATGAGGAGGAAGAAGAAGAGGAGGAGGAAAAGCCAAGGCAAAAGTAAGCAGCTCGATTGCTCCTCAGTGTCACTTTAGTGAACTTTAGCAGTTTGTTTTTGTCCATGGGTTTGTTTTATTATGGCCTTTTTTGTTTCTTTGACGTAGGCTGTCCAAGAAACAAAAGAGGAAAAAGAAACAGAAAGAAGTCGTACATGTAAGTAATATGTGCTTAGGTTTGAAGGTTAGATTAGCGGTCACTTGGTAATCTAACCTTCTCAACCTTTATTCATTGATTTTCTTGTTGTTTTCACACAAGAGTTCTCCAAAAGCTGAGACCGTGGAGGAGGAGACCCCAACAGTGACCTCCTGCACAGAAAATCACACAGAAGAACCCACAGAGCAGGAGAATCAGGAAGGTCCTACTCCTTCAGAAACCAAGAGGTCTGTCCACTTGCCTCATATGCCCTCATATACAGAACAACTTTATCAGGAGTTACTGTATGTTTCTGCTCTTGACCCGTTCGACTTGAGCTTTATTTGATCTCCTTCTTCCCCAAGCTCCTTTCTGTGCATCATCAGCCAGATGGAAAGGAATTTAATTAAAGTAGAGTTAAACAGCTTGGAAATTAAAACCACATACACTCCAATGTTGTGATAGTTTCGTTAGAATTGCTCCTGACAAGAACCACTTTAATTCATTTCTCTTTGACATCCGACCTTTGTAACTGAGTGTATTCTATACACATGAATATAAAGCTGTGGGTCATTTGAAATAGTTACTGGATTTGAGTGTCGCTGTAATTACACACTACCTTTGAATCTGATCACTTAACATATTTTTCTAAAAATAAACCTCTTTTAAAAACCCACCAGCATACCCACAAAGATCAGACCATGTAGAGTTTGAGACTGAATAATAATAATAATTTGAACTTAATTGATCCCACACCGGGAAAATTCTTGTGTTAACAGCAGATCAGCTGCAACAGGCAAGTATGCAGTTCCTCTGAGAATTGAACCCTGACTCTGCTTGCAGGGAAGGTGTGAATTATGGAACCCTAGCTAACAAATAGAGAGCTATTTAATGTTTTTTTTGTTGTGATTTTTACATCACATTACCATAACATGAAACCATAACCAACACATTTGTCAATGTTTTGTTTAAGCAGCTCTGCAAAGACAAAGGGAAAGAAGGGAGGAGGAAAAGACAAACCAAAGAATATGAAGTCAAACACAGTGGGGGAACAAGAGGTTTGCAAAGTGATCTGTTTAATTCCCTTTCCTTACAGCTCTGATCAATGTATAGTACTAGATACTAAGACACTCTCATTGTACAACACACTTTTTTGATATATTTGCTTTTGATTTCATGGTTGTGCATGTTTCTACACATGTCCAATATAAAGATAACAAACACAAATATCTAAATGTCATCTCCAGATGGAAGCAAACCTCCGCTGTGTGACATGCAACTATGAGTTCACCACAAGAAACAAGCTATTTGACCACCTGAAGACCAGCGGTCATGCCACTGCGCTGTCCTCAAATGCAGCACAAAGCTCACAGCTCAGCAAGAACAAAAAGGAAAAGAAGAAAAACAGATAACAAAACGTTGTCTTTGCTGAGGAGCCAGAACGAGTAGAACTCAGCAGGGACACTAGAGACCAGACCATGGGCAAAGGAAACTTAAAGTGGTCTCTTCATCCAAGGTCTCAGTGACACAGTCTACGCTAATGCTAGCCACTGAATCACTGCATTACTGAAACTTTGGATTAAAAAAAAACAGATTAATATCTGACCCAAGATTTTGCTGTACGTGTAACCATCTTTCTTCTGCATGTGCGTAACTACATTATGTTCAAATAAATGCGATACTGCAGGTCGTTATTTTTACCTGACAAATGTCATTTGTGTCAGTGAGGGAAGAGAAGCGCCATAATACCTGAAAATAATGAACAAAGTGTACATTTCTCTTTGAATTAACACACATTGTCAAAACTTTGATTGTTTTTAATATTGTTGGGGATATAAATAGTTGAACGTTCAGAAATAACGCTGTTAGTAACTTAAGTCATTAAAAGAACAAACCACTTGTGGAAAACTCGCTTAAGATAACAGCGCAGTCTACGACGTTAGCCTACCGTCAGGATACTGTATCGCGCAAACGCGTATTTTCAGTTGTTTAATATGTTCAAATACCCCAAAACTACTGACGTCGTTGTCCTTACACCGACACACAAATACCCAAATAAATGAACAAAGATGTACACTTACCCTTTAAATCAAAGTATGGCAAGATTTTGTTTTCGACGGGATAAAATTGTTTCAAAGCTCAAAAATAACTTTAATAATCACTAAAAAGTAGTGCTTAAAACCGAGCCACTTCTGGAAAACTGCCTTTACGATAACCCACAAGTATAACACGGATAGAGCGGGAAAGTCTTAAAGCTACAGTAACTGTGAAGTGACGATAAAGTTGAATTAGATAAACAGTCTGTGACCTAGCGGTGAATATATATTTTTCATACCTCATAATATATAAACATATAAAATAATCTTCTTCTTTTCCTTTCGGCTTGCCCCTTTTAAATTCAAATTTCAGGAGCAACAATTGGCCACAGTCACAGTTATATAGGATTCACTCTCACACAAAGTAGGACCAGGCTTCCCAAAATAGATATTAGTATGTTTTAATGATTTAAATTAATTTTATTCTAAGCATGACCCTTCGTTTTTTACATCACAGTAAACTATTATTTTCAGTAAATCATTATTATCAGAGTGTTAGTGTTAGCCAAACAGAATATTTTCTGCTTATTAGCCCAGAGGTTAAGTAAGGTGTTGACGCTGCAATTCACTAACTCTATATATAACTTTGTCCTTATCATCACTGTTTATCTCACTATTGGAATGTTGTTTTAAATAATGGTTAACTGCTACACTTGAACCATGAACCCCAGAGGCTGGTCAGAGAACAAGAAACGTGAGGAGACTAAGAAGCGAGTGTCGCTGCTCATTAACCCACAGTGAGGTCCTAATGGTCAAGTATAAAACTGCATATACATGGCTAAGCCCAAAGGTCTTTAAACAAATGCCAATATTTCAAACCTCTCGTCTGCACAATGGACAGGATTGTGCACAGGTGTAGTATGTTCTCTGACCACTACGTGGTGCTTTGACTCATAACTGACTGATCTCCCTCTGTGATGACCCCGATAAAGGAACAAGTTGAAATTGTTTCTTATTTTTACTAGGGCTTTAACCGTGTAATTGCCGCTCACCTGTAGGTGGTGCTATAAACACAAGCCACTTTAAATAGGAAAAAGATGATGACAGAGATGTAAAGAAGAAGCGGTGCTATTTTTTTTTTTAATTGTATACTTACCATTAAAAACTCCTATTAAAATAACCAATAAAAATGTTTTGTTTAGTCTAAATACTTTCTGTCAAAGGCAAAGTTTCATTATTATTAACATCTGGTTGATGGCCGCTGTGAACAGTCAGGTGTTCGTCAGAAATTATGACTTTTCCTGTAAAAGCGTTTCCATTTCAACGCCTTTGGTGGAAATCATGTGGAGTTGACTTCTGATTAGTTGGAGCTCCTGGTGATGTCATCAGTGCTGCTTAGCAGAGAATAGGTGGAACTGAATAAAATCCTTTTTTGAAACTGCTATTTTACAAAATTGGAGCACACAGCTTTTGACTCTTTTTTTTCTGGTTTTCTTCATTATTTTGTTGTTCAAAGAAGAAAAAGAACAAAACCGCCGGAAGTTCTGAAAGGACAGGTTCATCAGAAATGACGAGTAGAGGATATGGATGGATAGATAGATAGATAGATATCGGATGGATGGATTAAAAGATGGATGGACGGATGGGTCCATGGTTGGATTAATTGATGAGTAGATGATAGATAGATAAAAATCTAGTTCTGTTTTTTTTCTAAACTATTTTTCGTGAACAAAAATATCGCTTAATAAATAATTATTTGATATAAAAAATTTATTTTCTTCTCAAAAGCTGATAAAAAATGTATTTTCTTCTCAAAAGCTGGATGTAATGGACACTAATACATCAATAGCTGAACACCTTCCTACTGGTGTAGGAAGGACACAGCACACCACTGCACACAGCTAAATGTGACCACTGCTTTTAACCCATCACCAAAGTGAACAGGGGGCAGCTTTAAGCACTCACCAAGCAGTGTGTGGGGACGGTGCTCAGAGCACCTCAATGGTAACTTTGCAACTCGAACCTGAAGCCTTCTGAACCAAAGTCCGCTTTATTAACCATTAAGCCACCACTGCCACAATAATTATGCATTGTAAAATTCCACACACACACACACACACACACAAACACTTGTAGAGGAGGTTAAAATTATGTACATGATGTTTATAAAAACAGAGCCTGTACCCCAATCTTCACACATTAAAAAATCACAGCCATAATGCACAAAACCATCTTCGACTATTATCTTTTCATAATGGGTTTTGGCATATATTATGTCTGCAGATATACAAGATATACCGGAGGCCGTCTTCATTCATCTTCTCTCCATGTAGCTGTGGATGCATTTATTAAAAACTGCCAGGAAGAAATCTGCATCCTCCTTGGTAATGCACATGGGGGGCTTGATGCGAAACGTCTAAAAGGAAAGCAGAAAATAATGATTGCGCCCCATTACGTTACGCAGAGGTGTATAATGTATGGAGGAAAAAGGCTCTAATTAGAACTGAGTGGCGTGACGCCTGCCACAGGAAATTACAGGAGAAAGAAGGTTGAAGAATTCTGTTAGACAACTGAACATGAATCTGTTTTCTCAAGAAGACGTTTCACCTCTTATCCAAGAGTACAGCAACGATCGACATTTGAAATGTAAGGCATTTTACTATAAAGTACTATCATTAACCACTGCTAAAACACCAGGACACTGCACTGCTGGGATTTAGAAATTAAAAAAAAGAAAGAAATGCTCCTGGAGAATCTGACTTTATTTTTCATCTTCCTTTCCTTCTGCCTGTGTCTGCTGGTGAAATGAGTGTGATCACACTGACCTGTGATGTCGTCATTCTGACTAAAGTCGCCTGTTGCCCTGGAGATGTACACCTCTCTCCCTCACTCAGTCATTGTCGGTTAAGAATGTCCGATATAAGCATATCATAGCATATAATATCTGTTAGAATCGTTATCGGTTTTTCCTCCGATAATGAAAACTCGATAACGCAATGCCTGGGTTTCGCCGACTGATCTGTGCCCTCAAAATAATTTTGGGGATAAATGGCTGTATGTTAAAGTGAAAGTCACTAGATGGCAACTTTGCAGCTCATTTATTTAATCTCATGCTCATACAATGGTTTGTACAGAAAAATAAATAAATATTACCAGGCCGATATCGGTATCGGTTGATATCGGAATCAGAAATTAAGTGTTTGGACAATATCGACATATCGGTCATTCCTATTGTCAGTTTATTGTTTAGTGTACGTCAGTCATCCCACAGTGGTCAAGGTTTGTTTGTTTGTTCGTGATGTTCTTGCTAAGTGCCCATGTTCTGTGCCAGTGCTTCGTGTTCCATGAGCTTCATGTCTATGCCCTTGATTTGTGCTCATGCCATGTACGTGTCTACGATTTGGGATTTTGTAAATTAACCTTCAGCTTCTGATCTTGCCCTCCTGAGTGCTGCATTTGGGCCCTGCCTTCACAAAAATGTAACAGTGTTATTTAATTTGAAAAAAAAGTGTATTTTTAGTATCAGATAATTCTCTGGTTACAGTAGGTGTCCAAACACTGCAGTGAGAAGATTAATTGTATGTATTTGTTGTTATATACCAACCCGCCTACAGGTGGCGCACTTGCAGGTTGCTTGTGGAATGGAAGTGTATTTAATTAGGATTATGACTAACCTAATTAAACACAATAGGAACATTTTAAGAAATAGTACAAAAACAAACGTTCGCCTTTTTTTTTTCAAACTAATAAGAAAATGTGGTTGACTTTAAGTCAAGTTTCTACATGAAGCCATTAACAGGTGGGCAGTGTTATGTGCAGCAGGTGTCACAGCTCTGTGGGCAGTGTGTTTGTGTGTGAGATCAACCTGAACCACTGTAAGAAATTGTTCACAAGCGGTTTTATCTTCTTCTCATTAACAGAAGACTTTAAGTCCAAATGAAACACATTATTCTGCGTTAAAACCCAAATCTTCAAATCTTCACCCCCGTCATCTTAAGACAACTTAAATAAAACGGTAAAAAAAACAAAACAAACAAACAAAATAAAAAACAGTGCATTTTCATTGGAGACACAGTCTCCTGGTTTCCAAACAACAAAGTGTCACTTAGTTTGTTGCAGGAAACAATGTTGGTTAAATCATTTTTTGACATAAATTAAGCTGTTAAAGGTGAACTTGTCTTTGACTGTTTTGCCCATGTCATAACGGAAAACAGAACGTTGACATTGTTGACCTAAGTAAATACATTACCCATCAGACACTGCACTGCAGCAGACACTAACACTGGCTGATTGGTGATGAAAAGCTGTAACAAAGTATCAAGCGGCTGCACGGACATGTTTTGGTGTAATTGAACTTGGTATCGGGCGTGATACAGACACAGGTTTTGGTGTCAGTGTTTTTGATCGTGTGACGTATGTGTGTGTCGTATGTTGTGGTACCTGTCCATAGAGTCCTCCTTTTCCTATCAGGACGCCCATGTCCTTTACTTCCTCAAAGATTTCAAGCATGTCCTCGGTTGGGAGTGGGTCTCTGCTGACCTGCAGGATATTTGGTTTGAAGTTCATCGCAGTATTATTGCTGAGACAAAGTACATACTTGAGTGAAAGTATAGATACTTTCTGTACCCCCCCGCACCCATAAAGAATATACTATAATACATCTTACATGATCGCTAAGTTCAGCTGTTAATGTTAATTAACTCATGTTCATTGAAGGTTTATAAATATATCAGCTGTCTGCATCTTATTTTCACTTTTTTCCTTTAACGTGTTTTACAGTACAGTATTTTATATCTTATGTTTTATATTCATTTTTCTAATTTGATTTTACTACAACTCCCCAGCTCACCAACTAAAAACTGATTGGTGACTCGTGAGAAGAATCCCATCAAGTGCATTTGAATTTTTCCCAGGCTCTGGATTTGGATCTAGCTGTTGATGCATTTTCTTTTTAGATCTTACTGACAGTAATGATTAACTGCACACACATATACACACATTGCACAACAGTATCATCACAAAGACCCCTTCCCACCATCACATCACCCCTGTCCTCCAACATCTCCACTGGCTCCCAGTTAAATACCGCATTAATTACAAACCTCTCCTGTTCACCTACATGGCCATCCATAATCTTGCCCCCCCCCGCCCCCCCACCCATCTGCCCCCCCCTCCAGCCTGATCCCCC